TCTGTGTATAAACTTTTCACTTACAGTTGGTCCTGAGTGCGATTCTTAGCTTTCTCACCATTTGGTAGTGACAGCTTTAGCATTAAAACTATATATTTGTCACCTCTCTATTGCCATTTTCCTTTTAGGAAAGAAAAACTAAACGGTGTACTGAGCTTGCAAAACAAAATACTATGCATTGTCTCTCAGCCTTCTAGGACAGAGCATTGTTTGTGCTACTTTTGACACAGGTTCCCCTGAGTTAAAATTCTAGCCGACTACAGCTGTAGTGTCTATAATGCTGTGCTTCTGTCTGCCACTAAAGCATGCATCCTGTACAGATGGAGGTATGCTGATCGTGATTTGGCTGTATGGCTGGCCAGAATAGAAGGAAGGGCATTTTGTGTTTTTTATCCAAATAATCAGAAGAATGAATGCAAAGGTCTTGTCAAGGTAATAATTCATTAGTATGAATAGCAAGCAGTACTCTTAAAAGAAACAAGTAAAAAACCCACAGAACATCCCAAACCCTGAATGTAGAAATTCAATGTTACAGCTATATGAGCTGTACGTATATAAGTTATATATAGGCTTACAGCTTACACTTTGAGTAAATTTATTGTACCCACAATAGGAATTGAATGTCGTGGACTAAAACATTATATAGTCCACTTGAAATATGACAAGGAAAAAAAACATTAGCCTAATTATTTCAGCTCCTAATGACTGAATGAGTGGCAAGTTGTGAAGAACTTCGTACAGCCAATACGAAGGATCCAATAGACATTGAAACATGACTTAGAGTCTTTCAGGAGTGCCCATGCACATTGTCAAGACCACAATTCTGTAGCAGCCCCTCACACTGTAACACAAACCTCACACATTTAGATCAGCTCTGAGGAGAAATTAATCTTTTGCTGAACTTGTGCTAAGTGGGACTAGTGAGTCCTGTGGTTTGTGCAAAATAAGAGTGCTGACTTCCTCTCAGTTTCAAAGGTGTGCAGAAAATAGCAAAGCCAACAGAATGCATCCATTGCCCTGCTTTCCTCATTTTCATATGCCTTACATTGCTAATGCTTAGTGTGCTGGCTTTAACTGTTCAGTGCTCTCTGGCACAGTCAACTTTTCACTGGTTCAGTGAATTGTTCCAGAGAAAATACACACACTATTACACTCAAGCACAGAGAGATGAGCAATAATGAAATGTTAATCTGCAGCAGCCATAGTGTACTGATTATTGACATAAATAGCAGTTCAAGAAAGTGTTTTTGTTTTTTTTTTATGACGACTAAGCAATAATTAATCTAATATGTTTAGCCATCTCTTGGTAGGAAAATAATGTAATAGGGTAGCACTGAAAAGAAGAAAAAATGTACATGTGCATATATTATAGGTACAGAAGGAATCTGCTGAGAATATGGGCAAATGAAAAATACCACTTCTCCATAAGGGAGCTGTGAGCTACAAATAAAGTGACAGAATTAATATAAGTTGTCTTCATTTATTCCAAAATATTCACATGTTAGAGCTATATTAGGAAATATTTTGTGCTTAGTGAGGTCTGATATAATGTTCATTCTGTTTAATTTCCATTCATAGATGGTACTCTCAAGGCAACCATCATTAGCCTTTGAAATATATAGCATTAAAATTTCTTAAATGCACTCATGTTTTTTTTTATTTGAATTACCAAACAACACCAAATTTGATGTATGAAACAGATAAGAAAATATGCTGGTAAATTTAGAATATGGTTATCTGAAGTTTTGGGGATGGAATTAAAGAGATTTCAGGATTTAAACACAAATATCCAAGATTAAAAATATATATCTTTTAATCTCAATTTCTTGATAGAAATTTATATTACATGTCTACTTAATTCCTTTGTCATGCTATATGTGAAAAAAGGGGTGGGATTCTTCTGCATCTCCAGAACACATTGGTGAACAGAATAAATTTATAAAAACCTTAACATCACTTATGCAACTGTGATCTTTTGGCAGCATGTGTTTGATTTCCCTTTCCTGGGTGCTACTTTCATTGCACCCAGGCTCTGGGTGTACTGGCTGCAGACTTCTTAGCACTCTTTAACACGCAAAAAAAAGCAAAGATGAAACTGAGACAGTGGAAAACTCAAGGAAGTTTGGAAGTCTGTTTTTTGATCCTGAAAACATACTAATAAAATATGATCAAATATTCTGATGGGATAAGTATTGTATTCTCATTTTAAGTAATTTTTAATTCCTGATGCCAGTTAATTATTACAGCAATAAACTGTTTTAGCAAATTTTAACAGAATATCTAATCCTCAAGAACTGAAAATCATAGCTCTACAGAAGCCATAAAATAAATATGTATTTTCCCCTACAGTTTAGTTACTGTCTCTCCATTTCTGTAATTCTATTAACTTCTTTCTTTTAGTTTAGGATTCATATTTGTCTTCTGACAAAACTTTTAATTATGAATGTCCTGGATTTTTTTCTCCTTCCTTTCACATAACACAAGCCAGCTTGTGTAGCTCTCCAGAGACTGCTGCAAAATTGTATTTACAGACAAGATACCATTTTTGACTAAGTGATATCTCACATAGCCATATGATTTTGAATTTCCTTTGCTTTGTAGGAAAGCAAGTCAACATTTTTCAAGCACCAAGAGTTCACTTTTCTTAAATACTTTAATATGAATCTACTTTTAAAAATAACATTATGCAGACATAATATAGATAAAATTTTAGCATTTCAATACATTGACATATATAAAATGTTTTAATTGTTAATATTATTAAATAAAATAACATAGAAGGGGATGTTTAAGAGTTACAGTCATTAGGAAAATTAATATCTACAGTAGTTAAGTAATGAAAGACAAGTGGGAAGCTTCAAAAATTACTTAAGGAATTCTACATTGAAAAATGGTTGAAATATTTCATTTCCTCACAGACTGAGCTTGAAGTCATATACTATATACTATACATACTATACTATATAATGATTAGGATACAGTTATCTAAAGTTTTGCTGGAAACAGCTGTCATAATGGATAATCAGATGGTTTGGGATTGCATGTGCGTGAGTATTTTGGTATTACATAGGAAAACCCTTATATAAAAGGAAGCCCTTATATTTGTCTCCTTTTTTGTTAATTCAAAATACTCTTTAGTCAGTACTTCCGTCTTTGGGACAGAGCTATTTCAGTTAAGCAAACAAATTCAAGTTTTCAGTGAGAGTGCAGGATGCTTCTGCATCTTACAATGGACCTTATTGTTTTTTCAGAAGTGGTAACCAAAAACTTAGTTTAAGGGTGTTGCTTCTGATGGACGGATTTTAAATCATTGAGCATTGTGATAAACAATCAGGGGATAAAGGGAATTTTTCCTTCTCATTTGTTTCTCAAATCTGTGGGGTTTTTTAAATTTACTTCGTTGGTAATTCATAATGCATGGAAAAAACACTTTTTTATTTTTCTTTTTTTTTAAATTAGTTTTTAAGGTAATAGTTGAAGTAAAAAGCTTCAACTATTTAGATTGGTCCCTTTTTTATGTTACTTGAAAGTTGATGGTTGATGGTGGAAGGGTTTTTTTGCATGCAGTATGGGCTCACGTAAGAAATAGTCACTCTTTCACAACTAGGTTACAAGTTTGTCATGAAGTTCAACTTCTGTTCATCAGAAGCCAGACAAGGAATTAAAAGTGTACCTCTGTGAATGTGTACTTTTAAAATGTAGTTCCTTGATTGATAACAGCAGAATCAAGTTGCCAAAATTGCACATTATAGGTACAGTGCAGTTGCTGAAAGTATTGGGATGAATTCCCATCAAAGGCCAGGTCTCTGGATGTTCATGGTAAATGCTGTGTGTGCTCTGATGCTTAAGGAACTCTATTAAAAATTCATGAATAGGTGATATTAGTTCATTCCACATCCAAAGGTTTACAGAGCCTCCTGAAGACCCAGACAAATTGTCTTTCTTCTTTCCCTACAGACACTCTCTGTTCTCACGCCTTAAAATAAAGCTTTTTAGAGGCAGAGGGAAAAGCCTTCAATTTAAATGCAGCAAGCTTTCCCTTGCTTGAGGCAATCACAATGTGCTAGAGAGGATACTTCTTCCTTTTACAGTGGTCTGCTTTTACACAAATTGACCCACATACGAAAATCTAAAATTGTCACATAGGTTTGCTGAGCCACTGTCTATTTTCAGGGTAAGGAGGAAATTAGGCTCACTCCCATATTTTATCCAGAAGAAAAAGAAAATAGAAAACAACTGACTTTTAGATAACTTCTTCATATTCTTCAGGTAGCCTGCATCATGAGAGGACTCAGGATATAGTGGTCATCTCATGTTCATGCAAATTTGGAGGCTACTGTCACAGGAAGAAATAAGGCTAAACAAGGAGTTTTTCACTGGAAATCACAAACTTATATTGTGTATAGTCAGGGAGCAGAACTCAGTGGAAAAAAAAAATGCCTTTAAGTGTAAAAATTTCCTCTCGGTAAGTAATCACTAAGTAAAATGAATGTCCCTTGCTTGGATTCCGAAACTTTGAATGATCAGATTTTTTTCCCCTTTCTCATAGGAGAAGGTAGTCAGATGACCTGTTTTGTCCAGTCCCTACTTAAATACAAAAACTGATATGTCCCTCTTTTTGTCTGTCCATTAAGCCAGTGGATGACAAATTTCATTGTCATGTGACATTTTTCTATGTTTACCAACCAGCAGTTTGAGACATCTAATAAAGTTATTTATTCTATTTTCAAGATACAATTGATAGATAATACTTTTGTCATGGCATCTTTGATGTGCACATGTATCAGCACCATAAATTTTCTAAACTTACTGTCTTTTTCCCTTGTGGTCAGAACAAAATAACAAAGGACCCAAAGATGAAGAGGTAAAACTTCATCTGGGAAAGTTGTGCATCTAATCTAACAGTTAAGTTTGAAAAATTAAAGATGACAAACCTTAAGGAAATGCATACTTCGTTGTTTGACTTCATTTTCTCTGCTTTTTTTTCAATGCTGTCATAGGGAAAAGCTCGATTGGGCTCAGGCTACTTCTCTGGAAGAATAAGAACAGTCTCTGCCAATCTATGAATTTGTACAACATGATGTAAGAAAACTTCAAAAGGAGTTCTGGTTGATGGCACTTTTAGAACCACCAAGGCTGTGGAGGAAAACCGTTTTCTGGAAAGAGCACTCCCAGAGCTACTTGCAAAATCATTAAGTGCTTAGATCATAGAATAGTTCTTAAACTCCATCACATGTTTTTCCCTCCATTTTTGTTTCTTAATTGTTAATCTCCTGAACCTTTGAGGTAAGCATATATGTTTCTCTAGTCTTCCTCTTTTATATTTAATCTTTTGCACTTCTGGAGCATCTGACCCATAAAAGACCTAAGTCATAAATACAGCCATTTCTATTTTATTGTGACCTCACTTTTTAAAAATATATCTGAGAATGTTTCTGTGGTTAATACTCAACTCTTTTCCTATGCTTATGCTTTATTTCACAGTAGTCATGATATCCCCTACAATAGAAGAGAACTTTCCCAAAGGCTTTCTGAAGCTTCTGAGAACCTCTGCTATAAATTATGGTTGTATTCTCCACAGAAGGCTGAGAACCATTTTGTGCAAATAATGGCACAGAAGCTCTTGCATTTCTGCAGAGTTGCTGAAGGCTTCTTCCCCCTCCCCAGTTTGTCTACTGCTGTCATTCTAAAATCAACGGAGGTACCAGCTGCACATCATATCTGCATGTCATATCCCCCTTGTTCCCTGTATCAGTCCTGCTTTCTGGAGCATGTTAAATTTTCTAGTTTTGCCTAAGTTTTTGAAGGACTTGTTGAGTCTTGTCAGAGGGCTCCAGTATCTTACAGCTGCAAAAAAATCCATTTCTAATTATTTGGTAGCTGAGAAGTTTTCTGTTAGAAATTGAAATTAATCAACAGCAGTTTTCAGTTTTATGGTACATATCCCAAATATGGAAAAGAGAATACTGCGTTGTCACAAAAAGTGTCACTAATCACAATCACTTTACATCAATATTTACCTGTAAGTGTTTTAACAACATACAACTGAGGAATACACTTTCTTTTTGGTACAATTCTTTTGTTTCCTCATCCTTATAGCTTGTCACTGTGTTTCCAAACAGAGCAGAAAGTTCATAAATATGGTTGAATATTTGGTAATTTTCAATGCTAGTGGAATAATTTTTTCTTCTTCCCTCTTTCTTACCTCCGAGCCTTCACTCTCACTGCTGATGGTGCAGGTCTTTGTTTTTCCTTCTTTTTTCTTTATGTGCAAAGATAACCATTGTAGAATTTTAACACTGGAATCCTAGGTTATGACAGCTTTAGGGAGATTTCTAGGAACTCATAAAAATACAGCAACTGTATTTTTTTAATGATTCCTGATATTTAGTTTACTCATCTGGTCGGATTGTTGGTCAGTTTTTCTGTTGGTCAGTTTTTTTTTAACCTTTGTTGCACATGCACACAAGAAAATTTCAGATTGGGTTTCATAGAAAAGGGAGACAATCAATGAAATTTGTTTTTTCATTAAAAATTTTGGATAAGTTTCTTGGAATTCAGAGAGCTCCTGGTCAATATCCATGAAGGAAAAAAAAATCCAGTTTCTTGCAACACACAGATTTTGTGTTTTCCTTTACATAATCTGCATTCATGACCCTGCTGGGAAGAAATAAGAAGTGGCTAGCCAGATAAATAAATATGGGGAAGTGTTACTCCAAAGACTTTCTTTTGATGATATAATTGATTTGATGCATTTCTTATTGTAAGAGTTATCCAAGATCTGTAACACATGCCTCTAGTACAGCAGTTTGTTTTAGAGGCTTGAGTATTATTCATAGAAATGAATTCTCCAAAACAAGTTTTATGTCAGAAACATTCCATTAGAAGTGACATTTGTGCAGAGAAACTTAGATTTTTCTTGTTCTAAGACCTCACTTTGAAAAGTTTCTGCTTGCCAAAATGATAATAGAACTTGGAGTTCAAAGTGCTTTTGACTGTGTGCCAGGTATTTTGAGATACCTGCAGATAACACATCGTTGCCTGACAAATTATTTCCACTAACTTCTTTGGAGCAGTCCACCAGTTTGTCTGTTAAGCTCCTAGTTATTGGGAGGTCTCTTGAAGATCTTAAGTGTAAGACATCATCCACAAAGACATCTGTGTATGATTACTGGGTATTTTTTCACTTCTCAACCTTTCCTGTTAAGTGCTTCTCTTTGGAAATGGAGGAATTCTCCAACTTATGGAGCAGTAGTCTCATTTATTACTCTTAAGTTAACATGTAATCACTGCTTCTCATTCACCACTCTGGCTCTATTAAGTGCTACCAAGAAGCATTTGACTTCTTCCTAGAATGCATTATGTACCACGAGTCTAGTGAGGGAACAGGTTTAGGGGAAAAAAATAATAGCTGCGCAAAAACCTCCTAACTATAGATTGAAGTGTAGCTTTTTGTTCTGAAAGAAATGTTGGAAGATTCATTCTTATCATAGAAAGTATTGTTTCCTCTCCTGACATTACAAATTTCATAATAAAGGTTCTATTAATCATCCTTGTTGAAAAAGAAATGACCAGAATATTCCACAACTTATTTTCTTAAAACGATCTACAGTCTGGTGTTTCCTTGTAGGGAGTGTTGGAAAATATTTGAAGGAATCACGATCAAAGTATCATGAAGCAGGTATTTAATCCTGTAATTTCATGTTCAATAGTGAGTGCCATCCATTTGATGAAAGACACCAGAGCTTGGATTTTTTTATGATATTGTTTTTTTAGTAAAGGTGTCCTGATGGTATTTTTTGTTGTTGTTGTTTTTGTTTGGGGTTTTTTGTTTGGTTGGTTGGTCTTGGTTTTGTTTTTTTGTTATTTTTTGATAACCTAAATTGCAGAGTCCATTTTCTTCCTTACTTTTCCTAAAAAAAGGCACCAAAAACATTTGCTTTGTGGAAAGTGGACCATGTACATCTAGGACGAGGAAGTTACAAAATATAGGGCTTTCCAAGAGTAGATAACTCTCCCAATTATTTACATTTACATTACAGTTTGTGCAAGAACCTTCTTGCACTGAATTTATCACTCTGCAGTTTTCAAGTTCACAATTTAATAAGATTACTGTCATTTGTGAAATGTCTTTGTTTTACATTATTCCTTTCTGTTAGAGAGAGTAGTAGGAATAGCAGGAATTTTAAATTTGCTACTGTCTAAGAAACAGGGTCTCAAAGGGCAGTTTTGAGTTTCATGTAAATGTGGAAAGATTTGTTATCATACCAATTCCTACAGGATTTTTAGACCATCTGAAGATGACACCAAACCCTTGTAGACTCTGCAGAAGAGATTCATTCTGGAGTTAGCTGAGCATCAGAGATTGCTAGATTCCAATGAATGATAAGGTATATTTATGCTGTAACTGTATTTTCCTACCCAAAAATGAGAAGGAATGGCAGGAAATTGAAAGATGAGAGAATTGAATTGTAGGGAAATGAGAAGGGATTGGACAGACATTGTGTGCCATCAATGTATGTGTGTCCTAAGCATCCAGCCATGGTAGAATAGTTATTCAAAGATTATTCTAGTCCAAGAAGAGGTAAAAAATATTCTGAATTTCAACTGGAAACCTCTTTTCTGAAGACGGCTGGTTGATATTTTCTAGCATAAGCATTTCACATAGATTGTATTCTTAACCACAGGTTTTTATCAAAACCATTTTTGTACTATTTTTCAGAATAAACATACTTTCTTCTATGACGTGTACCTTTGCAAGAGTTATACAAACTGAAGCAAATTGTTGGGCTTTATGTACCCACATAGCAGATTTCCCTACAGCATAGATTACTTGAAAATATCAAACCTGTTTTCCTTTATTTCATGGCTGCCAGATGGGTTATGGCCAAATTTGCAGATGCGTTCCCTGTCTTCATGAAACTCAGTAGACTATGCACAAACTACTGAAAAAGTAATCTTTAATCCTACAGTGAAAGCTGGTGTCAGCACTTCCATTGGTTTAGCACAGTGTATGTTTGTTCTCTAAGATTAAATCCTGTGGTTTATTTATTCTCATGAATAGTGTCCCCTGGGAACTGAGGACCAACAAGATCCCCACGGTTATCTAATCCAGGTATAGGGATGTTTTCTTTCCTGATCCTGGTTTCTAATGCAAATCCATAGCAGCGCATTCTGGAAATCTCCACAAAGACACGGGGTAAATAATAAAATTAATAAATAAATAAACCTCCAGTGTTCATTTTCTTTCTATTTGAGAAGAAAAAAGAACAAATAAATACAGAACAGATGTTAGCCACACTACTTAATATGCTACAAGAAGGCACGCTGATGTTTCAGTAATTGCAGACAGAGCTGAACCTAATGGAATGAAGCAGACATTCAGCAGTAATGTGCAGCCTCCACAGAAATAAACCTGTGATGTAGACAGAAATATTAGACAAAGTTAGTCTAAATACCACATTTTAGTTATTAAAATTATTTTAACCAATGTATTAATGTACTAGAACTTTTTTACATCTCAGGTTTTGCACTCTCAGAACCATAATTATATTTAATTATAAACATAATGAAAAAATTCTCACAGACCGATCCAGACAGTCTTACCATGCAGTATATCTATACGGTAGTTTGAAAGAATGTATCAGGCACTAACTTGAGCCAGTTGGGAAAAGGCAGCCTTTTTTTTATTGAAGCTAGTAGATCATCAAGTTATTCATCTTATCCATAGTGTCCTTTCTTGCCTTTAGGTCTCAAGAAAATGTAAATCAAAAGCTTTTTGAGTTATGGTTCCTGATGATTCACAAGGTAATCTTGCAAACACAGCAAGGAAATATACGATTTGCAAATTGCTTAAATGACATCTTTGCTATTACCTTAAATTATTGTTGCAGTAAATCCTGTTTAACAATATTTCAGCTTGATAATATTTTAAAACTGTACCTTTATCAAGATAAATACTCTACTTTTTATTTGCTTACGTGTTTTTTTTTAACTTTATGCCTACTTACGGACAGAATATTTTATCTCAAAATCACCTATGGTTCATTTCTTTGTGCCAGAATCTATGTGTATTTAAACTAATTCTAAATCCTTAGCTAATACAAATTTTTATCCAGAATTACACTAGGATTTCCCTGAAAATTAACATTTTCAAATTGCTAAAGCTTCAGGTTCAGAATAACTTTGGATTAAGCATAATGTTTGCCTAGGCTTCTTAAGAGTATTGCATTCCCTTCAGCTTCCTAAAAGCAAATAGCAATTCATTAATTATTTCAGCCCTTAGACATATACTGTAAAGTAACAGCTTCTGGTTTGTATGGAAAGTACTTAAGACATCCAATTAATCGTCCCATGTTATATTTAGCTTGGCAAAAAAAGCAGTCTAACTTTATAAAGACATGCTTCCATTTCCTATATTAAATCTAAGACACCTGTAAGGTATTGAGGTTATAAAAGGCTAAAACTAACCTTAAGCATCTCTAGATCTGCCTAAATCACAGTAACTTTAAAAAACCATGTTTACTGAGGCAGCTGCTTTCAAGTAATTATTACTTATTTGGTGACATTGTTTTTTGGTTTTTGTCCAGGGAGCCATCAGAAACTGCAATGGCAGGGAAAGTACTTGTAAGACCAGAATGTGCTTCCAATGGATAGATGTCTTTCAAATAACAGGAATTTTATTATTTTCATAGATTCTAGTAATTTATATATTTGGTACATGTAATATATATTTAATATGACATATGCTTTTTAACTTTTATTATATTTCTGCTTTCATTATAATTTACATAAGAATAATGCCTCAAGTATTATTCATCCCACAAGAAAAGGCTTACTCCTCAGAAATTGCCTGCATGTTGGAGGCACCATTTTATGCCATTCTTTGTGTCCCTTGAATTATAAAATCTTCTGCAGAGAAATATAAATACAATAGAATATATTATTTCTGAATAAAAAAGAAAAATCACCGAAGATTTTATTAATGTGAAGGTTGCTTGTGTTTGGGTTTTTTCTATTTTTGTGTACATGTGTAATTCTTATCTGAAGGCTGCTTTTTAAAAGCAATTCAACATTTAATCAGCAATTTTGGAAAATAAATCCATTAGACCTTGCAAACTTAATGAGCTATACATGTTTAAAACTACAGACCCTATGTTACGAATTCCATATATAAAAATTTCTAATGGGATCCCATTTATTATTATCCCATTATAATCTCCCAGTATTCGAGGATTATAACCTGCATACTGGACTGAGACTGCCCCTCAACATTCTAGATATAAGATATGGATTTCTTAGGTTTGTGAGTTATTTTCCAGAAGAAAATCAGAAAAAAGACCAGGACACAATAAAAGCTCACATAAAAAAATGAAACTGTTAAAGACTAGCTATGTCTTCCTTTAAAAATTTCAGGGTATTTTTAATGAGGCAAAAGGAAAATAAAAAAAATTAAAATAACATAAGGAAAATCCCCTGAAAAAGTTCATTGTGATATATTAATGAAATAGGCACATTTAAAAGAAATTTTTGTTCAAGTTTAAATAAAAATAAGCAATAAAAAATAAATAAAACCCAAGCAAAACAAAAAGCAAAAAACCAAAGCAAAAACCAAACCAAAATAAGAAAAAATAGAGTATTTTGTAGGCTTTTTGTGTGTGTGTGAACATTTCTAAGAAGATTTGCTTCTAACACAAATCCTAATGAGAAATATTTTACAGTTGAAAACATCTCTTACATCAAATTTTGAAAAATAATGTGCTGCTGTAGAAATCTGCTTTTGCATGGGCAAAGTGATCCTCTTTTGCCAAGATACCTGGATAGCTCCTTTAAAAATGCGTTGAATGACATTAAAGACTTTCAGGACTCATCAACAGGTCATCCTGGGAAGGTGCTACTCTGAAACAGTTATTTTCCATGAAATCAGTTTTCTGTGTTGTTATTGGGAAAAGGGCATGTGAATTTACCCTAGGACTTAAATTATATAATGACTATAATTTACTCTTCTTGTCAATGCTTTAATTGACAATTAAGGCCTTTAATTAATCAGAAGTATAGTTATGAAGGGCATGAAATGTTTTGAAGCTGATGGTTGTAAAAGAATAGTCTTGAAATCCCAGATTATGAGCACCATTCTATCCAGTAACTAAGTAGGAGAAAGGTATTTTAATGAAAGCAAGATAAGGGATTTCTAAGTTCCTTTCCATTATGACCCTTCTCTCTCCCAAGTGTTCAAAGTATCATACTTATTTTACTGAACCTATTTGTTCTTCCTGTACTTTTCTGTTTTTTTTTGTATTTAACACAGCATAAGACTGATCTTTCTCTTAAAATTTTAAACTTAATTAAAATCTGTGGAGGAAGATTGTTCTCTAAGGGTCTCCCATGTGAAAATGAAAAGTTAAAGGGTCATGGCCAGATATTGCCAACCAATTTAAAGAAGTGAAATTGCTGAAAAGGCCAGGAAAATGAAAATTCCTTCCATTGAGCCACCAATGTAAATATTTGGAATGTACTAATGTTTATGTGACATTTCTAACCATAGCTATAATGTTTACTAGTACCAGGTCTACTCTTTTTTTTATATCTCCATGAATATTCCATGTGAGATCTATGCTCTGATATCCTCAATAGTCAGCATTATATCTACAATTTTGTGTGATATTCATGTCTGACAGGCCAGGGCTCTTTGGGACTCCATGCTTGTACTACCAATGAAACAATTGATGGAGGGGAAGTGTATCCTACATGGTTTCAACACAAAGTATTTCCGGAAAGCAGGAGCCTTTGGGATGAGGTGAGGTTTTCCACTTTCTGTTTCACTTCTGCTTCCCTCTTTCCTTCTCCTCTTCTTTCCCCTTTCCCTTCCCTTTACTGTTACCCTCTCCCTTTCCCTTCCCTTTTGCCTCCTTCTTCTTCATCATGGAGGGATATTTGGGAAGTTATGCATCACTGTTCTAATTTCACTGTTGGTGACTTTGTATTAATAAGTTTTCAGTGGATACAGACGTCGTGGCATTTATTCTGGATTTAGGCTACAGGTCAATAAACTCACAGTTACCACAGCGGCTTAATGTCTATTTTTGTTTGTATCACATGTTATAAAAGGCAAGGTTTTTTTGCACAGAATAATGACAGAAAACTGATGAAAACCTTACAGTCCATGAATTATATTCAACCATAAGATATTTCTACTGGGAATACACCATTTTTTTTTCCAGTCATCCCTGAATTCTTCTGTTCTTGGGTACTTTGATTTTCAAGAGCTTCCCAGTGGTCTGAGTAGTCAATTTACAAACATGACTGCCTTTTTTCATCAGAACTTAGGAATTCATATTATCTTGACTATATTTCGATGATGCCCATGTTGTTACCTTCGGGGAGGATCTTTGAGAGCTACATGCTATGATTCTTATCTCATAAAATTCTTCACTGGGCTGAAATACAGTGTGAAATAGAAGCAAAACCAGCCCTCGTAATTCCTACTGGGGAAGAAACAATGTAAGCTGGAAAAAAAAACAATGTAGGACTTCATATCTCAAGGCAAAATTTTGTCAGCTAATTCAGAGGAGACTTAGAATCATATGTTCAGAAAATGGCAGGAAAGGGTGCTCTTCAGGGGAAGTAGAACCTAGGGCAACTCCAATACAGGGCAGGGCAGGTCAGGGCAGGGCAGGGCACAGCAGAAAATGACCCTAACAGGTGCAGTTCACCCTCAAGGGAACAGGATGACCAGGTCAAGTCCCTCATGGTGACCAGGGCTGGCCAGGATTCTCATTGAGACCAAGAGGTCAAGTCAGGGAGCTGAATCTGTGAGTCACAATCTAGACCAGCACTGTATATCACCAGGTGCTGGCACAGCTGCAAAGGCTCTTGGACAAGGTGGGGGAGTGGGGGCATTATTCATAGCCTTTTCTCACAGCTGTAAACCAGGTCCAGGCAGCCTGTCTTGTCAAAGACGGCCTTGACTACAGGCACTAAAACAATTATGGTCTCTGCATTTGTGTGTGTGTGTGTGTGTGCATGCACTGAGGGAGTAGCAAGGTCGTTACAATAACTGGTAAACTTAGCCCAGCCATGAATTAATCGTACTGATGTCATTGTCACTAAACAAGAAATAAAACTTCTCTCAAGGATTGACTCACCTCCACAGTTTCTTGAGAATAAAATCGAGCATTTGGTAGTCTCTGAGACTGTACAGAATTGTGTAGTGCTATAATCAGATTTACACAGAAAGGCAGAAGGTAATTTTTGAAGCGATCTCAGTATGTTTAGTTTATATGGCAGTGTCATATTAAGCTTTGACTAGTGAAAACTACCTGCCCATCCTCATACTGCTGCTACTGCCCTCTAGCATCTCTTTATCCCTTCTTCCTTTGCATTTTTACTGTTACTGTCTGTCTCTTGCCTTTCCCCGCAGCCCTCTCTGCCCAATTTTTCTTTGGAATTTCTTTCCTTCAACCAGTTTTAAATTATAAACTTTAAAGGTGTCATTTGTACTACCTTTCTTCTTTTACCTTTGGCATAGTCAGTATTGTTGAATTTTCATCCTTATAATTGTAATAATTTTCAAGGAGAAAAAAATTATATATGTAGAATTCAGAGTCCAGAATCTCTTTTTTGCAGATGGAGACAAATATCTTTTTTGGTTTTTTTTATATTGTGTTCACATGCAGAATTTTCCTTGTTTGTCTAGGACAAAAACAAACAATCAAACAATTCCTGAACCCCCATTTTTCTTTAATATATGTCTTATTCTTAAGCCCTGATATCTTAGCTTAAGCTAGAAGCCAAATGCCATCAAAGAGCACATCAGTTTAAATGTGACAAAGCAGACTTTCAATTCAGTTTGGGCTTGCATCAAATCTGCAATACTGACAATAACACATAGGTATATTTGGAACAATTTATCACTACTACGTCAGGGGTACTAGCTTGCTTCACCTACTTCCTCCTCTCAGGATTGGAATGAACCCAGAGTTGGAGTTGTTGGGTGGGAGTGAAGTGGAATGACTCGGTCAAATCAATTTTGTAAGTTTACATCCTTCACAGCAATGAACTTGTTTGCAGGTAGGAAAGACATGTTTGGTTTAAAACCCATTTTCTTTACAAAGCACTTATTTGTAAAGAGCTGCTTCTCTTAACTTTGAATCACAGTGATAAGTCTTGCCCCTAGTAACATCACTCACTACACAGTTACCATCTTATATCCATGTCATCCATTAGGTGAAATCCTGCTGGATAAAAGAAATAAAGCTGTTCAAGGAATAGATTTACTGTACACCAAGGCAATGAATTAAGAAGTCTCCATACTCTCTAGTGTATTCTATATTTCCTGGCCATTTAGCACATCTCTTGGAAAACAAACAAGAAAAATCACTTTCTTCACCCCAACTTATAAAGGCATATTGAATCTAAATAAGAATAGGATGCATAAATTCTTTTAAAAAATGCTGATGCAACATCTCTCTTCTGATTTTTTATCTTTTCACTGTCTCGTAGCAAGAGAATGCATTCACTGAGAGTAGTTTATGGTGTAGTGCTTTCCTTGAATTTCTGTGCATGTCAGTGGAAGTACTATGCTAAAATTCTAGAGATGTAGGTTCAGTTCCAGGCACTCTGATAGACTTCTTATGTGACCTTGTACAAAGTGACATGGTGATAGATTTGATAAAGTAGTCAGAATTCATCACTAAAGTTAGATTTTTCATAAGCTTTGGCTTACACTTTTGAGATATAGAATAAAGAAAGTGTCATTTTCTTCCTTGGGTGCTGAACTACTCTGAAAACCAGGCCATACATTTCACAGAGCAAACCATTAGAGACTATTATCTTTGAGTGCTACCAGCCACAGGACCTGTTTTCTCAGAAATCTGGCCTTGGCCTTTGGCATCCATCATTTTGTGCCACAACCTGCCACTCACAAAATGAACTTCCATTTCAATTTCCATCCCCCCCTTTTCTTTTGAAGCCTGTGAGGGTCTGTTTTCAGCTAAATGCATTGGCTGCACCTAGTACAGTTCTTTCAGTTGGTAACTATTGAAGCATCTTTTGTATTAGTAATGATGAAATTAGAAGCCTATGGTTCTAAAAGAAATTGAGTAGCACACAGAAGCAGCTATCAAACACAAAACCTGACCGCTCTAATTGGATATACTGAATACTCTTAATGAATATTTTGACCCATCACAAAAGGCAGGAAATATATGTTACCTTGTCAGAGAAACCTTGACTTTTAAAACATATTGAATTTTAAGGAGATCTGGTAGATTTACATTTACATTTTTGTTTAACGACAAATTTATGTTTAATATTGTCATATTAGAAAATTCTCTGTTGCATTTATTTCTATTGGGTGTACTGCCTGAGATTACTCTAGTGAGTGAATTAGTAAAATTGTCCAGATTAGGTTTATGGGTCATTTGATTTTGCAAAATACTCATGTAAAGTGAACTCTAAATTAGAAACCATCAGTATCCACATTATAAACCTTCCTTTAGTATCTACATTTGAAATATTGAATTTTTGGCGAGAAAGAACTCTCTTGCACATGAGCCTCACATAGAATCTAAGTCAGTAAATCCTGACTTATGTTCAGAGCTGACTCTGATGTCATATGTTAAAGCCCCTGAAGTCATTACTTTTGCAGAATTGTTCAACCCAGTCTGGTAAATCCCTGGAAATTCTGCAGTTCTGTTACATGCCTTGTTCTTTATCTCCTATGTTACATTGTCCAAAGCATATTTTTATCAGTCCAGTACTTTATGAAAGAAAATAAAGATTGAACTAACTCCTTGCTTAATTGCATACATTTTCATTGTATTTGCTGACATGTTAATTCACTTGAATATGAGAGGGTTTTAAGGACTGAAAGTACATGAATATTTAAGCCTAGCATAGAAATAAGAAATTAGAATAGCCTGTGGCTGGATAATTCATCACATTCATTTTTCTTTTTTAAATTTTAGAATGCTATCCTTCCCTTTAGTGTGCTATCCTTCCCTTTCAAGTTCCTTTAAGTAAATACTTTACAGTTGAAAATATGATTCTGACTCAGCTATTTGTGTGTATAATTTTCAGTATATTTTTCACATGATGGTGAAATCTAGTAGTGAATCTCTTAACTGAATTAACTTTAACTTGTTTAATATTAAAGTTATGTTGCATTGAACATTTTAAATTTTCAGAAAGAAATCTTTTCAGAAAGTATTGAGAAAATTTGAGAAAGAAATTTAGTGATGAGAATAGCTAGCAATAGAGACAATTACTTTCAAAAATAGTTTAATGCCTTACAGACAGTTTCACAATCAGCTCAAGATGTTTTGGAGAAGGGAAGAAACGGCAACATTTCACATTCATAATTTTTAATTCTGCTCCCATGCATCAGATGTATAATTTTGTATTACTAAATCCATGGTTTAATCATCAAATAGCTGATTTTTAAACTGTGCAACTTTATTTTTTGTTTAACTTCATATAATACATCTTGGATAGGTGCACTATTGGGTCAAAAACTTGTTGGTCCAGTGAGTGACGGTGTGTGGGACTAAACTCAGCTGGCAGCCTAGCCAGCATTGACTAGATTTGTTCCAGGGCTCAGAAATACAGCCTGTCCTCCTTAACATCTCTCTTGGTGATTTGGATGAGGGGCTTGAGTGCATCCTCAGTAACTTCACAGATGACGCCAAGTTGGGTGGGAGTGTTTATTGGGTGGAGAAAAGGAAGAATCTATAGAGAAATCTTGTAAGACTGGGTTGATGAGCTGAGGACAACAGCATGAGATTCAAAAAACTCTTC